CCAGCTTGCGCTGTCTGTTTCTGCAACGGCAACACAGAGGGCAGCGTGAGAGAGGTGGCCCCGACCCCACTGCAGGGTACTGTGGCAAACCAGGGGGCAAAAGTCTGGAGTATTAAAGGTTCTGCTTAGCTCCACACAAAAATAAAGCTGCCCCCACCATACTGCACAGGGAGATCAGTCCCTCCTCTTACAGCCCCACAGCATCCACCGTGTCTTATGTGGGCACAAGCTCACATGGGGATGCGAGATTATAAACTGCTTGCAAAAAACATGGGCTAGGGAGCTGGAATACTAATTAAATGAAACATCCCTTAATCCCAAACGCTCCCCCCAGCAGCCTCACCTTCCAGATGCAGGAGTTAACCCACAACGCGGTATTTCTCTACTCAGCACTACTCTACCCGCAGCAGCTATCTACATATGAGACCATTAATAATTACACCTGACAAGTCCAACCAGCTACAGCTCTTCCTCCCCTCAGATCACTTACCTTGCCTCTGCTCTCGTGACTGTGTACTCAAACCACAGGATGTTAGGAATGAGGCTGGTGTCTCGGATTAGAAAGAACTCTGAAATTGGCCTGGAAATGGACACAGTGGGGCAAAGGGGGAAGTAATTAGACTTTTTCTCCACCACAGTTTTGATCAACATAAAAACGTTGCACAGATCAACATAAAAACGTTGCACAGAAGCTGCTCCAGACGTAACATGACTATGCTATTACCCTACAGCCTGGGAAAGGTGCTCCCTGCTAAATTTAAAAAGGCTCTTGTGGGGTTTTTTTCTTTCTTTATACAACGTTTCCATACTACATTACATTTAAACAGCTTTGCAATCTCACTAGCTCATCACACGTTCCTTAGAAAGGTTTGTTCTGCTTGAAAAGCTTATCCAGCCCTCTGCCACACATCAACCTTGGTAGGGCTTTAGAACACAACAGTTGCTTAAACTTCCTCTCTCACCCCTCCGTATCAGGCAGGGATATATGATCCTTTGCACGCGTGCACAAGGAAATACGGAGAAACAAGCAGGTCACACAAGTCAGTAGACAAAGCTGGAACATCACCCAGGAATTCTCATTTCTCACATCTGTAACTTGGGCAGTTCACAGAAGTTTGAGCAGCTCGTTTACAGTCAGGGCTCACACAGTAACAACGGAAATTTTAGAGACGGAAGATCTTTCCATTCGTTTTCCTTCAGATGCAAGGTACAAGTTGAACACTGACTGAGTAAGAATATTTTCTTTTGCCAGGTAATTCTACTACACTTGGGGCACCAGCTCATCACAAGGGACTCATTTAAGGAGCCAAACAGCAACCCACAGAATGCAGACTTGCAGGAATAAAACCACGACCAGCAGAGACTTACCATGCAGCTATCCTTGGGAAGAGAGGGGTTAATATCTCTTGTGTGAAGGCAAACCAGGCTATGGCCATAATGCTTCCTGCCACACCTCCGTATAAGACTTGGCTCCAGGTGTGGTAAAGCAAATAAACCCTGCAGTGGAAGAGAAGAGTCACCAGACAGGCTTTAAAACCAGAGGCAGCATGACTCAAAGGGTGATGTTTCACCAGACCCTCAGACATTCTGAGCAAGTTATCCTCCAGATGTTAAAAGTGGATATCTTCCTCCATTAAAAAGCTGGCAAAAAGTGTGGGAGGGAGGGAACTGTCTTCCCTGCTACAGCAGTCTCAGCTCAGAGTGCTTCTAGCTTGGGCTTAACTCAGTAACCCTTCACATTCTTCATTTATCTCTGGATTAGCTGAGGAACTACTACTGTGGGTTCCCACGAGAGACTCTTCCAAAGCCAGTATCAGGACAAGGCCCCTCCAAGCCACCAAAGCTGAGGCTTAAATACTTTTAAGAGCATGAACAGCATTTTTGTTATGATTTTGCTGCTCTCAAGAGTAACAGCATACAGGCTGCCCTACCACAGCACACGCACAGTGACTGCAGCCCTTCCGAAAGCTCTGCTGGCGGCCTGTTATCTGTGCACACGAGCTACGAGTCATGCTTAAAATTCTTTTCACCCATAAAGTGATCTTAATGGCTTTATGATATAGCTGACCCTCTGCCTAGCACAGGCCACTGGATTTCCTCAAGTTAATTTTTATTTGAATTACACCATATATCTTATGAAATTGTCCTGTCAGAGTTTTAAAAATAACCCATAATGAAGAATCAGCTCTAGTGTAGTCAACTGTGCCAACAGGTAATTACTCTGCTGTGGAAAACATGGCCTTATTCCTAGCCTGAATTTGTCTGGTTTCCAATCACTGGAGCTCATTTTATGTGTGGGGTTTTTTTTTTAAATCTACTAAAGGGAAAAAAAAGTCATTATCGAAGTTGCATTTTCTTTAATCATCTTAATACAACTAAATCTTGCAAGTCAAACAGCTAGAAAAATGTTTTTATTAACTAATGCTCAAGCAAAACAATCAAACTGATCAACTGTAGCAACCCACATGCTGCAGATGCTGGTGTGCCAAGGCATGGTGCAATGCTTTCACGATTAGTGCTGGGAAGAGGGCGAGGCAGTGAGGCTGGAGCATGGCAATGGAGCCGACCGAGAATTGCTACAAGCTCAGCTGATCTTGGGTTTACAAATGCTCCCGTGAAGCACCACGCATGTAGCACCTTTGCTTATTTGAAGGCAACACAGCAACTTCCGCAAAGCTCCGACTTGTACAGTGCAGTCGAGAATTACATCAGAAAGGCAGGATAAGGAAGGACGGGTCTGCTGGCTGTTCAAGGCCACGGGACTGTATGAGAGCATAAGACAAACAATTGCTCCATACCTACTATATGAGACTAGCAAAGCCACTGTGACGAGGCAGATGGACAGCACATGTCGCCATAGTAAATCCAGAAACCTCGCATTGTTTGTTTGGTGCATTCTGAAAGAGATGGAGAGCCATTAGCACAGTGGCAGGGAGCCGAGCAGTCCTTATCTCTGTTCTCACTAGCTCTGAAACCCTGGGAAAACTCTACTCCAGTGGGGTCATGGGCAGCTCGATACCACCCCAGCAGCAATCTGTCCCACTGGCAGCAGTTATAGAAGCCAGAAAGCCACGCTTCTCTCTCCAGCTATTAACTGGGATTGCTGTGATGGAAGGCAGAATGCTCACAATTAACCGCAACTGATGCGAAAGGCACAGGCTGAGTATATGCAACAGGGAGCCAAGACGTCAGAGTCCCTCAAAGCTAGGAGGAACTAAGAGTTTGGTCTTCCTCCACATGTGGAGCCACAAGACAGAGCCATGCCCCAGCGAGAATTTCAGAAAAGCACAGCACAGCATGTGAAACCAGTACTCGGTAAGGGAGATGAACTGAAGAGGTCATGCAAGTGGGCAACAGGTATTACTCCAAAGACTGCAGACAACCCCACTGACAAAACTGAGTAGACACATGAGAAAGCAGCTCTTCTTTCCTCCTCCCTATTCCCTCCCTCTTCCCTCACACTGGTGCATCATCACAACTTAGAGAAAGCGAATCAGGAGCCCTGCACGCAGATAGGCACAGGAGGCCCACCCGTCCCCTCGGCTGTCAGCAACGGTAACTACAGTCCTCCACTCCGACTGACAGACACGCTTCATCCACCCTAGCCACGCAAGTCGCGTGGTTCCTCAGATTTAGTTCCGTTATGCCACTGCGGTGGCCCACGGCAAGGCAGCCATCTATTTCAGGTGTCTCAACATATTAACCACCAAAAACCTGACATTGAATTTTTACCTTAAATAAAGGAACAGAAAGGAATAGACAGAGAAAAACCACATGAATTGGGAGTGGCTGGACGGCATCCCATATTTTGTGGTCACTGCTGAATGGGCTTCTGGGAAGAGAAGAAGAAAGAATATGGTCAAGGTCTACTCCGTACGTAGCAGCTGGAACACTCCAGATGTGAAGCCAGACCAAACATGAGGCAAAGGGGAAAATACCCTCTAACCCCCCACAGTTAGCATTCCACTCAAAAGTCAACTGACACCATGACACCAACAGGCCATACCATACCTTCGCAGGGCCGAGGCTCCCGGATTACGTTTTTTATTAACCAGTTCACTCCCTCGTTGAATGCCAGCCCTCCCAAGAAAGAGATCTGTGAAGGCAAGACAACTGTGTCATCCTATCTAAAAGATCCATCTACTTACCAGCCTCTCTGTTGACGTGTTTCTAATTTTCTTGGCCTACTACTAGAGTTAAAAAAAATGGCTTCAAAATTGTCTACCGGAGGCAAAAAAGGCATTTCTTTTTCAGCCCACTTTGTGTACTTGGCAACACACTGTGTGAATGTGGCTTTCCAGCAGACGATGCATAGACCGAAATGGCACTGTGGCAGTGCTGTCAGCATGCTTCCACCAGCAAGCACAGAAAGGACATTTTTGAACAGGGCAGGTTTTAAGGGATTGTCTTTCCCCAACAACCAACAGGGGGCAGGCACACAGTTATTTGGGTAAATAGCTTGAAAAAGGGTGACTTTTTTAGTATTTCTGGCTTTTCCCTCTATAAATATCCTCATCTTGAAGCTGCTGTACTCAGTCTAAAATGATGTCACATTCTGCACTAGGCCAGACTGGTAGCATTTATTTTTTCTCTTTAATTCCATAGTCCATAGAATCATAGAATCACAGAATGGTTTGGGTTGGAAGGGACCTTAAAGATCATCTAGTTCCAACCCCCTGCCATGGGCAGGGACACCTTCCACTAGACCAGGTTGCTCAAAGCCACATCCAGCCTGGCCTTGAAGACATCCAGGGATGGGGCATCCACAGCTTCTCTGGGTAACCTGTTCCAGTGCCTCACCACCCTCTCTGTGAAGAATTTCTTCCTGACATCTAATCTAAACCTCCCTGATTTCAATTTGTACCTGTTACCCCTTGTCCTATCACTACCGGCTCTTGTAAAAAGTCCTCTCCCAGTACCCTTGTAGGCCCCCTTCAGATACTGGAAAGCTGCAATGAGGTCTCCTCGGAGCCTCCTCTTCTCCAGGCTGAAGAAGCCCAGTTCTCGCAGCCTTTCGTCATAGGAGAGGTGCTATGCACCTCCCCTAAATTTGTCCTGCTGCTGTGATCAAATTCCCAGCTGGTGATGATACTCTGCCTCCCTAACACTCAGTCCCATTCCAGATGATAAAGCAATTTTTCACTCTATGTCCTGAGCTACGGGTCAGGCTGCTGCAAGTCAGCTAGCATCTTTCTCCAGCTCCGTGATGCCTTCCCACATAAAGGACTGGGAATCAACCTCAGCACCTGTCATCAAGCCCTTGTATTCATAAACTATGAATCTGTGCAATAGTCACTCTAGCTTATTCTCTTAGGTCAACAAGAAATCTTTGGGTTGCCAAAATTTGACAGCTGCCTCTCCTAGTTAGCGTTGGCTTACTAACTTAGAAGTCCCATTCCCAGGTCCCTTGAGCCACTGGTTCCCATGACACCATGGCCCTATATCAGAAATCTGCTGCCAAAATCCTTTCACTGGCCCTTATTTTATCTGTTTACCAAGGGCAAACATTACAAGAGGTTTATATCCTCTAAAGGGAATTTATCCATGACACCAACTCCCAACTACCTGTCAAAGCAGACAGAAAACATTATGTATTACAAAAACAGTCCTTTATTGGTCATTTGGACAGAAGCAAGTCTCTTCTGTCCCTGGTAGTCAATTCACAACTGGGAAGCAGCCCGTACAGGTAGATCCACTCCCCTGGGCATCTGTAGGTTTTATTTTGTATCCCCTTTTCTGCCTCAGTAGTTCAAAGGCAGAGAGAATTGGGCTTGTTCAGACTGCAAAAGAGAAGGCTCCATGGAGACCTTATAGCACCTTCCCGTGCGTGGGGGGGCTACAAGGAAGCTGGCGGGTACTTTTTACAAGGGCCTGTAGTGACAGAACAAGGGGTAACAGGTTTAAATTGAAAGCGGAGAGATTGAGATTGGATATCAGGATAAAGTTCTTCCCAGAGAGGGTGGGCACTGGGACAGGTTGCCCAGAAAACTTGTGGATGCCCCATCCCTGGAAGTGTCCTAGGCCAGGCTGGATGAGGCTTGGAGCAACCTCGTCTAGTGGAAGGTGTCCTTGCCCATGGCAGGGGGGTTGGAATTAAATGATCTTTAAGGTCCCTTCCAACCCAAACCATTCTTTGGTTCTACAACAGGAAGCACATCCTACTGAGTTACAAACACCATCTCCTGGCTATGCAGGAACCTGCTGGTGCTATGATCACGCTGGATCTTGAGAGTGTTCCTACTCTGCAACAGCATTCTTTAGTTCCTCAGACATCTCTCTCAATGTTTTTGGACAGATAATGCTCAAAACATACCACAGAGTAAGAGACAAGTCAAAGGCTAAGCAGTCTTTTATAGTCTGGTAGAGGTGCTAAGTCTCTCCTGCTGTTCTCAGGCAAGAAGATCACCTTACCTAAACTTGCTCTTTAAAGAGAAAAAGCATGAATATGAGGAAAGAATTCTTTACTTGGAGGGTGCCAGAGCACTGGAACATTGCCCAGAGGGGTTGTGGAGTCTCCTTCTCTGGGAATGTTCAAAACCCGCCTGGATGCGTTCCTGTCCAACCTGTTCTAGATGAACCTGCATTGGCAGGGGGGTGGCCTAGATCATCCCCGAAGGGCCTTTCCAACCCCCGCCATGCTGCGATTCTGTGAATACAGGAGGACCAGGTGAAAAGGAAAAGACTTCCGTCATAAGGAGAAACTGAGAAGGGAGAGAAGGACTCACCGTGTGAAGTTCTCTCTTGAATATGATGAGTGTTACAAAGCCAACAATAATGAATATTGGGCCAAGACTCAAATAAGCTAAAAGCTGACCAGAGAAATCACCTAGGGAAACAAAGAAAAGAAACAAGTCAGTTTGAACTTCACAGGTACTTGCCTGCCACCAGAACTGGGGTCAGTTGGTGCTCCCCATCCGAGGGCAGAGGGGCCAGGAGTAACTCCCGCTCCAGCCTGAGAGAAGTGGAGGCAAGGAAGACAGCAGTGCTTCCACGCTGGTTCAAAAGCGGGGATGAGAGGAGCTTGGCATGGTTCAGGAAGAGATTACTGCCAGCCAATTTACAACAATGACCATGGGTGTGGGCCCAGAGTCACTTTAATCCAACATAAGCACAGGCTGCTGCAAAAGAGGCAGCGTCTTTCCCTCCCCCTCATTCATATTGCCTCCTTGTGCCAGCAATTACCAGCAAACACTCCCCAAACAAATCCTTTCCTACTCCCTTGCTAAAATGGGTTAGTTTTCAGCTGGATCAGCTCCTTAATCTGTCTCACCATGTGTCTGCACGAACACTAGCATTAGCAAAATGGGGAGGAAATAAATAGCTAAACATTGCGGGAGATAAAGGGGAAAAAAAGGAGACTTTAACCAACAGCCTGCTTGTATCACACAGAAGTGACTTCGGGCCTCCACCCCAAACAGCTAACAGTCTAGTTATCTCCCAGGGAGAATTGGGGAGCAGCAATGGGACCTCACAAGAGGTCATAAATTACCTCCAAATCTGTATCCTGAACTATCAGAGACACAGGAATAGGGAAACAACAATAAAGAGCTCTACATTTTGACCTAAGTTTCTCTTGCCTCTGTTCCCTAAAAAAGGACACACACAGAAGTAGTTGGAGAGAAGATGTCAGCATAAACTCCAAGGAAACAAAACGTTATCAGAGTAATTTCACTCTGAGATCAGCAGCTAGCATCAGGAGAGCGAGAACTACCCACCAGAGATTGTTCAACAGTGACTGCAACAACACAGCATGAACCCAGTGAGCAGCCCAAGAGACGGAGGACATTCTATACGGGTTCTGAGAGCCGAGAGCTCCATCCCATCACTGAACACAACAGGATCAGCCCTCACACAAATTATCCCTCCTCTCAAAGGAAACAGGATGCCTCTGCAAGGCCAAGCATTGGATTCATTCCTAGATCAATTCCACTGCAAGGTACCCAGCCTCCCCAGCCCACGCACCCACATTTTCCAACAGCACTTGGCAAACGGACTTCAACCTCAGCCTTCCGAATGCTGGAACTGAAAAAATACAGTTATTGCACTGCTACAAAGTTCACGCGGCCCATGTCACTGCCACATCGCCGTGGTTACAGCGGGTACAGCCCAACAGATCCCTCTTGACTCCCAGACGCCGCAAGGATTACTTTCAGGAGTTTTAGTGCAACGGCAGTGAAATTAGGAAGAGTTGGAGGACAAAATCCCCAAGAATCCTGGGGTTTCACGAAGCAGGGTTCTGTGTTGGTTTTAACCTGAAAAGTGGTAGAAGACAGTGAAATTGGAAATTTTTCTTGCACCGTATGGCAGGTCAGCCTTGTACCAGTTGGGTTCCAAACGCTCCCAAAGCGGAACAGCAGTGTGTTCTGGCAACGCAAAGTGACAGTGCCACAGAACCTTAAAATCGAAAAGATCAGTTCCCGGGCAATGGCCAATCAAGTCCCTTATGGTCTTACATAAATCACAAACTCTAGAAAATTAATCCTGTCTTAAATGACAAGGGAATTCATGAGACAAGCCACCAGACAAACAAACTACCCTGGAAGCCTTAGGAATACTTTCCAAGAGTCTCAGTTCCAGCGTTACCAAGTGAAGATAGCTCCTCAGCAAGGAATCACCATGTTTCAGGTCATTCACTTCATTAATACACGGCACACAAAGACTTAGCACCTCAAGACTAAAAGCTGTAATTTTGTCAAGTAGAAACCAAACCGGATTATTTCTTTTTTTGGGGGGTTCAACTTCTTGTGCAGATGGTGGGAGAATACTTAAAGAAGGAGCCTTTTAATTTAAATCGCATCAGCAGTACCAAACTCAAGATCCTCCAAGATGTTACACTCCCAATCAATCAAGCCACCCAGACCCCAAGGGCACACAACCCCAACCCGAGGCGGAGAATCAGACGTCAGCGCTCCAGACGCTGCCCGCGGGCAGAGTACGAAGTCCTTCACTCAGACAATCTTAACGCAAGCATTTCAACCGTTTATTTAAACTAGAGAAGGGATAGCGTTAATAACATTCCATATTACTCTGGCTGACAGCAATCAAACAGTATCGCAGGCTGAAGCCACTCTTTCTAGGGGAGGAGGCAAATAAACAGCTGGGCACTCACTGAAGGCAGCCCCTTTGCCATGCTACACCAGGAGCTCACTAACGCCACCATAAACGGACTCGCTAGAGGAGCGGTTTAAGGCAGAGCTGCATTAACTAAACCAGCTCCCAAACGATGGGAAATCCCCAGCGACAGCGGCAAAGCAAGCTCCGAGGGAAAGGCCAGCGCTGATTACCGCGCAGCGCTCCCAGGGCTCTCCCGCTCCAGCGTGCCCAGAAGCTTATTCCCAGGGAATGAGAAACTGCAGGAGAGCTGACAAGCAATCCAGTCAGATCCAGCAAGCAGGTCCTCACCACCTTTGTAAAAGATCAGTATTTCTTCATGTTACTAAACTTAGGAATTTTAAAGCAATTCATCCAACCAGTAAGAGCAGAGCCCACCAAAACCTCTGGAAAAATACAAAAGGAAAACCTATTTCATATATAGCTTGGGGTTGGGTTGGTGGTTTGGGGTTTTTTTCCCCCACCTTGGGATGGGGTGCGTTTTTTTTTTTTGGGTTGTTTCTTTTTGGGGGGGATTGGCTTTTTTCCTTATTTAAAGTCCAGCCTTCCTTGGACATCATTTGGGGCTCAAGACGCAAAACTAAAGAGCCTAACCACCTCATTTCAGGCATCCAAGAGATAAATAGGTGAAGCACTATTCATAGCTCAGATGCACGCTCTTCTTTTTTTCCAGCCTTCACTCCGCATCTTCTTCTGCTCCAATTCAACATTTTACCCAGCATTCCTTCAGGGGGAGCATCCAAGCTTTACCACAGTAGCTTAACCTGTATGTAATGTAAAAATGAGAATCAGCAGCACTCTAACCACATCCTACCACAAGATCTGGCTTTACCACCGCCACCACTGCTTCCTATTGAAGCATCTATTTATGGCACCGGTGCCGTTCGTGTGTTCTTCACTAGATACACGTGTGCAAGCTGCACAGACAACACGCAGTGTAGGTGTCACATGCATTTACACCCGTCAATATTCATGACGGATCGTCATTTCCTCTACTTGCACATATCTTGGTATCACAAGCTGTAGGACAGTAAAAATATCTTCAGGAGGCTTTAAATAAAAGGCATAAAAGGCACACATCAGACATGAAACTTCTGCAGGATGATTAAAGAAAGCCCCGTGTTAAAGCAGCCGAACAACTGAGTGGTATCAGCTAAGGAGTATCTGCTGCAAAACGCAATGACACGAGCCCTGACCGGTGAGCTACCACCCTAGGCAGAGATCACAGCAAGGGTTATCAGAACCAACATTCCTACAGGAGCGACACATGCTGACAGCGAACAGCACCGAGAATGGCTGTGCAGAAGTACAGCCAGCACCTTTGCTCAGCACACCTCCTCACTGAGCGGTTCCTGCCTCCCCAACTCTGCCCGTCTGCAGAAAACGCCCTGTGCAACTGAGAAAACAGAAGATTCTCTGTCATTCTGCAGAGGAAGGCCTTGGCATGGCAGGTTTCTCTCCTTAAAGAATTTGTCCAGTGTGAGGAGGTCCAGAAAGCCCAGAGCGTCAAGAATCCCAGCTGCACTGAGGAGAGGAAGTTGTTTTTTTTTCCCCTTTTCTCCAAATAATAATACAAAACCCAAACAAACCAGGAACTCAGTGTTTCTCCAGTGAAACTCACTCTACAGACAGGAAGTCCCTGAAGATGAGTTTTAAGTCTGCCACACAAAGTCATCCCATGCAAAGCAACGCATACGGGAAAAAACAACCTTAGTGATACAACACAGCATGACAGGATTTAGTTTCGTTACCAAACAAGAAACTCTCAGGCTTCATGTGAGCCATTACCTTCAGAGCAGTACCCGATGCTCTGCAGCAGTCAAAAAGACAAGAACAACATTTTTAAGAGCAAAACAGGTTACTCTTGGAGCACTAAAAAAATTTATTATGCGATCTCACTGCCTAAAAATGGATAGCAAACACAGAAAAAGCAAATAGAAAGGGGACAAAGATAACAAGAATGAAACAGCAGCCGCTCAGAAAATACCAAATAACTTGGACTTTCAGCTGCAAAAGGAAAAGATAGGATATGTCGGTTCCATAAAGTCATGAATGACACGGAGAAATGGGCAGCAAACGTCTGTTACCTCTCGCTGCACATAAGATAGTGTTTGATGAAACTGCTGAGCTTAAAAGCAGAAAAGAAACCACCATCACATGAAGTTACAAAGCTCGATGCCGAAGATACTTAGAGAACCAAAGCAGAAATGGGTTCAAAGAGCAATTAGACCTATTCAGAGTACAGCTTTTACATATGCATCACAGGATTTAACAGTCCTGATGAAATCACCAGCTCATTACTGGAAAAACAGAAGAAGGATTACTCCTGCCTACCTGCAAGCAACCCAACACTGCCAGATCATTCCCTGGTCTCCCCAAAAAACAGTTGCTGACAGGAAAAGCTCCAGGACCAAAATTTCTGAAAGCAGTATCAGGATGCTATTTTTAAAGGCTGTCCTCTTCAGCAGCGTGCTTTAACACACCGTCAGGTAACACCGCCACTACTGGTTTCTTCTCCCTACGGTTGGTCGTGATGTTTACTATGGGTAACATTTCAGTTAGGCCTCCAGGATCCCATCGCTCAGACCAGTCCTGCAGTTGACTACCACACTGTTCATCCGCTGTTCCTCGTTTGATCTTGCTCAAAGCTGACATCACAGAAAGCCCTAAGCAGTCACACAAGCAGCAAGGACGGGTGTTGGGTGTTTTGCACTG